ACTTTAAAGAGCCTAGGATCACCAAATTCAAAAGAGCCATCAAGTAAATGCTACTCAACCAATGTTTTTACTCAGTCTAGGAATACTACGTCAGCTATGTCTAATCGAGAAGAAACATACTCACCGGTATCGATTATACTGTAGTAGTTTGTAAATACCCCTATTATCATAGGTGAATATTTATTTGTTTATATTTGTACGTAAGCAACACCTGCGTTGTTTAATATTTTTATATTTTTACAATTCACTACTTCGTTTTATATGTTTACTTAAGAAAGCCTATACTCTTGACTTGCTACAAACAACGCTAAACGAGCAACTCGATTCATGTAGGTCTCCATTCTTGAATTATAAGTTCGACAAGTCTGGCACCCCTGGTCATTTAATTACCTTCCCATCCAGCTTACCTACAAACTCCCTATATACCCCAGTTTTCAGATTTCAAATGTATTAATGAGTTTTTATACATGATAATGCTATCGTGAAACTAAAATAACTAGTGAAAAATAGACAAAAGTGTTTTCATTCATTTCATTAAAGTCAGGAGATATTTTTTTAGTTGATTGAGAAATCGCTATGCAAAAATTAATGAAAATATTTCTGATTACACATACATACAACAATAATTCTTGATTACTCACGATTTTCGAATCTTCTTTCAAAATTATTCTTAATGAATTTCTAATGGAACTCTAGAAAGACGATTTTCTTTGATTCAACTCAATTTCATTGAAGTTTGATATTTAAAGAAAACTTATTTTCAGAAACATAACTAATTTATAGTAACAAGAAGTAATATCGCCTAGAAACAAGAAATATCAATTATTTTCATTCTACTCTAATTAATTTTTTGTTAACATTAAACATTAAAAAATATGTTTATTGTGTTCATTAGCTGAAACACATTTGAATTTCTATAGTATGTATTACTACTTTAGTTAAGTGGCTTGAGATTAAATTCGTTATATTCATTATAGTGGTTTGAACGCCAATGCATATAATATTTTAAGAACAAAACATTATGACAACACCAAAAGTGAAGGAAGAAAATTAGTGTGTCTATTACGGAAAAAATAAATGAAAGTCGATCTGAGGTACGAGGAATTAATGTATTTGTCATCCATGTATTCAAATTGTTGGTTGACTATGATTTTCACTATTGCCACATAGAATGTGAGATCTATTCATGCAATTATTTGTAGAATATGGCATCGTTCAAATATCAGCTACAATTTCTTTGGGTGGAGCGCATCCGAAACTTCCAATTTTCCATGAATCTGGCGCATAAATCAGGCTGAATTTCACCGATGACAGGATTTGTTGGTTTTGAGGACCGCTGTGGTTTGTTGCTCATTCGCATACACCCGCGACTTGAGAAAACCACCCAAGAAAAAGTCCAATGGGGTCAGATCGCACGATCTCGGTGGCCAGTTCACATCATCTCCACGTAAGATGACCATCCCCTCAAATCGCTCCTGCAAAATTTCCAATGTGGCATGAGCTTTGTGGCACGTAGTGTCGTCCTGTTGAAACCACATATCTTTGGTATCCAGATCATCCAATTTAGGCCAAAAGAAGATGGTAATCATCGACCTAAACTGCTCGCCGTTGACTGTAATGGCCTGATCAACGTCATTCTCGAATACATATAGACCGATGACGATGCCAGCCCAAAATTCACAACAAACTTTTTTGGGCTGCATTGGATGATCTTGAATCTCTATTGAGTCAGGTTGCGTCTTAAAAAAACACATTTTAGGTAGCCACAGAGAAAGAAACCAAGAGGAGATACGTATGGAGATCTAGGAGACCATTCAATAGGACCTCTTCTTCCAATCCATTGATTAGTATAATTATTATCCAACCATTCCCTTACTGGAAGTAAACAGTACGATGCAAANAAATAGAATTTACTGGGTAGAGTATTATATTCTTCGACTAGCGTTCTGCCACGAATCTGCAATGCCGATACTAAATATAAATTCACGATACGGAGAAATAGTCAATTAATCAAACAATCAAAATATGCTTTAATATCAAAGAATAACATCTTGTTGACAAAACGTGTATATAAAAATGTAAATGTAATTAAATTAATAACATTTGATAAATGTATAAAAATAGTCACTACCGTGAATATGTTGTATTGCTTGAAGTGAAATCTGCACGAATGGCGAAATTTTAGTTTACAGAGGTATCTCAGGGCTCTGTTCTGTAAGACAATACATTTTGAAGAACATTACTACTGCACACTCCCCAGAATGGGATACCGTATCGCAAATGTGATTCTATCAAGGAGTAGTATACTGCCTTTGCGGTTGGGTATCCTAGTTCGTTTGCAGCAATTTTCACAGCATAACAACCAGAACACAATATTTTATTCCAGTTTTGGACATGTTCATTGAATTTGAGACCGTTGTCCTAGAAATTCAGAAAAAACATTGTTTTCAATAATCTGGTGGTTTGAAGAAATATCAGCAACTGCACATTTGAAGTATACTACCTTAGTTTTCAATATATTTATTCATTTATTTCATACACTATTCTACAGGATGAACCCAATTACAGAATAGGGAGTAACAGTGGCATTTACAAATATGTACTTACATACTATAATTTGTAAATCTATATTAAAAAAAATAAAAACGGAACTGTCAGTTAGCTAAGAAATGTCTTTTGATTTGTATAATCTGGCAGTTGAATATATCTAGGATATGACTAACAGAATTAGAGGTATCGCACATTTTATAAATTGGAGATTTTTTCATTATATTCGTACGCGGAGTGTTGGGATAAAATATGACACTATTCCTAGATGACCGTCTAGGAACAGAAACATTCAACATATGTAGTTGAGTAGTTGAGAGCAGGTGATGATATTGTTTATGACCTTGAATAAAAAAAAAATGAATAATATTTACGCCTTACCTCGAGACTGCAAAAATTGTGAGTTACAAGCAATTCATAATAGGGTATTCCTACAGTTGGATATGTGCCTTCCAGTTTAAAAGACATATATTTTAGAAAGCGCCTCTGTAGGGCTTCTATTTGATTTATATGAATCTGATAGTAGGGATTCCACACGACATATGCATATTCCAGCCTAGATTGAACAAGGGTGAAATAAAGTAATTTCAATGTTGAAGCTTTTTCGAAGTCTTTTGTATTTCTAACTAAGAATCCATACATGCGATAAGCTGCTGTTAGAGTAGTGTAAATATGTTTATTGAGAGAGAGGTATGAATCAAAAGTAACATCTAGATCAGTCAGATCAGTAATCTTGGGTGATCCCTTTTTTATTTGTGACACTACCAGTTTCTTGAAATTTTGCTACTAGTTGGCGAATGTACACGTGACTTATATTTTATTTCCGGGTGCCTCTGGTTAAATACTTTAGTTGTTCTTAACAAACGCTGATCTTCTCTACCATAATTGAAAATCATTTCTACATGCTCAGTTGTGTTATACACCATTGTTGCAGATAAAAATTCTGTTTCTCGTGTTTCAACGTATCGAAATAAAAATCAAAAGTACCTATCAATAACAAGAGTAGCGTTTTCCATCTTAAAGTAAAAAATGCAATACGAAAATACCTCTCAAAAACTAATATTTCGAAACCCCTTTTTTTCTTACTCCCACTTATCAACTAAGTTGAATTTAACAAATACAGATAAACAAAAATTGTACAGTCCTAAAATGTCTCAATATTGATGCCTCGATGGTAATGAGAATGTTTTTGATTTTTTTTCAATTGATAATAGAAAATGAAATATTAATTTGAACAAATAGTACTGTATTCAATAAACCAAAACTTGCTACATCGAATATAGCTTTGTAGGGTACCATCAAAGAGTATTTCTTAAGAGCTTTTAGATAAGGTATCACACAAGTAGGAGGTTGATTTTCAATAATATAAAGTTTGGCTGGCTGAAGACAAGGGGAGTAAGTGAAAACAAGTTGGCTATTACATCATTTTGTTTCGTAACGAAGCGTAGGCTAAATTCCGCCACCATAAATGAAGACAATTTATTATTAATAATATCAAATGGTTTCATAAACTCCACCTTACGATTTGATTCTACTCAGTACGTAGTTCACAATGAAAAAGCTACTGTGTTAGCGAAACATATCGTGATATTTAAAAAATAAATTTAAATGAAGTTTCTGGAGATAAAATCTTTTTTTCACTATATTTAATATTTGATGAAAAATCACCTTTTTGCCTTTCTTTTATGCTACATTTTTTTTCAAATCTACGTATTCATCATAAATAATGAGAACAAAATTCAGGCTGGTAAGCCGTGGTTTATTGGAATCTGAAATACTAAACGTGTTGCCTGCTACTGCGGCATACATCACCAGTGGTATAGTCTCGAGGATAAAGGTTTTATCTCGAAGTCTCAGCAACGAGTGACTCAGTCGTTGTGCGACTGAATCAATTGCACAACGATGTTGCACGACAAGCAGCGTAAAAATTGTGCGTCAGTTCAGTTGTAATGAGAAATTAAAACAGCATGAACCAGTATATGAATACCATTATCACATTAATTGATTTTGTTAGAATATTTCTCTTTCATCTTATAAGGTAAGTCACCAGTACTATCGAATTTAGGCAAGTAATATCAAATTTGGAAAGTTTGTCTCGACTCAAAATAAGTGTTGATAACATTTCAAAGAGTATATTCTTTATTTAGTTGACTGAACGAAAAGGTATAAAAGTATAAAAGGTATTTTTTGTTTCATAAATCTCATTATCAGAGGAACATTTTTTAAGAATGTAAGTTTTGAATTGAAAGTACTGATACATTNGAACAATGTTCGTTAAAATTCACCGTATTTTTCAAATATAGATTTCAAAGTATACTGTTGGAATATACCTACGGGAATCCAACCTAGTTTTTCAAGAATGATGGATATAAGTGAAAACGGAATTGTTAAATTAACGGTTTGGTGTTGGGAAAAACTCCAGTAATATTCATTACTACACCAAAGGTTCCAAATAGTGCAACACAAGTACATTTATTTATGTTAACATCGACATTGCAGAGAAGTTTCACATATGAAAAACAGCTGATTCATGCAATTCAAGTCATTCCAAGTGAATCCACTGGTACCCTCATGCCTGGCTTCGATGCAGTTTTCTGCGAGAAACGGTAAGTTATTGGGTTCAGTCCAGTACCAGTTGGTGTATACGATGTCTCTGCCAGTTGCCAACCATACCCATCTGTTATTATCTGTGTGCTTCGATGCTGATGTCCAGAAGTGGGCATAAGTTAAACCTGAAAAAAAAGATGTTTTTCGATTATCATTGCCTTACATTTCGTGACCTAATACGTGAATATTACCGGAGTTTTATCTCAATCCTAAACCGTTATTTCAATAACTACACTTGTTTCGATCACCGAGTAATCATCTTCAAGAAGAAGATTATTGTCAGTTCAATCTTCCTCTTGAAGATGATCACTTGGTGTTCAAAACAGGTGTCGAGGTGTTGAAATAACGGTTTGTTGTTGGGAGAAAACTCCGGTAATACTCGTTACTACACCAAAGGTTCCAAACAGTGCATCACAATAACTAATACGGGTTTCATTCAATTCAGTCGGTAAATAAATGGAAACGTTATTTGAATTTGAAGAATCGCGCAAATATTAGTTTGAAAAAAATTTTGTTCAGATGAAACTTTGGTTGACTATATTTACAATTCGTAAATCGATTTTCCTATCAATCAAAGATAGACAAATGGGCACATGAGAAAATTTTGCTGTTAGGAATTATGAGTAGAACCTAAATCTGAAGTCTAGGCACCAGGTAGTTTCTTTGGTAAAGTTGATTGCACACATACACTCATTTGTTTTATTATCAGTACTGTAAATATTTTTATATGAATAGGTATTTGCAAGATAAAACCCAACAAATTGTTATTGAAGAGATTATTAGTGAACTAAACATTTTCGTGTGAGCAGTTCCCAATGCTCTAAACTCGGACTTTGTTTTCTCTTATTTGATAAACTCTTTCTATACTAGTGGCGTTTAAGGACAGTTCAATGACTGAACCACTGAACTGTCCTTGAAATGACGAGCCTGAAGGTACAGGTAATGACATCTTTCTCTAAGTAGATGTCATCTATGGGATCGACAAAAGATTGAATCTTTCAATATCAAAGATGCACGAGACTTCCCACGGCAGTAACTTGCGAAGTCAAGCTTCGATATCAACCAAAGAGCGAGATTCGTCTTTTGTCTTCCACTGTAGCTTTCACTGCAAGGCATCTAGATGTATTGGTGATCCAACAAAAGACAGCACCGTTTCGACCCACCAAGGTGTCACTATTTCATGTTATATTGATATTTATAATATTTCATCAATCCATGTAGTATACAGGTAATACAAATTTCCCAATGGGGGTAAAAGCAACCTCCGGTATAGTAAATTAAAGTAAGTTTATTGCCTACATTACATAATCAAATATGTTTGAAGCAAGCCAATTACAATCATTGCTTTGCACACTACAAGATAGCATACACTTTCGCCTGAAAGACGGATGTGTATAGTCCTAGCGGATAGCTGTAGTTTAAATTTCTATCCGTTTGGTATATTCCAGCTCCCGTTCCATGTTTGGTCTTCGATCCATCTGTATATCAGGTGTTTTTTCCAAACATGTTTTCGGGATGATTATTGGTCTTCCACTCTTCACGGCTTATGATTTTGACCGTGAAGTTTGTGTTGAAGGTGTACTTCGGTGTCATGTGGCCCGTGCACATATTCAATATGTGCTCCTCCACTTGTTCCGAAATTTCTGTTCGGTCCGATCTTTTATAGTTCGGTGAGTTTTTCAGTCTGAATTGGCCCATCCAGGCCTCTCCCTTTATCACAAGGTGTAAAGGAGGTAGATTCAGGAGTGTCTCTAATGCAGCTGTTGAGGTAGTTCTCATTGCTCCCGTCATTCCCAAACATGCAAGTCTTTGCACCTTGCTTAGTTTGTTAATGGCGGTCGCCTGGTTCATTTTTGGCCACCAGACCAGAGATGCGTATGTTATCTTGGGTTTAACCACCATCATGTATAGCCAATGTGCCATGTCTGGTTTTAGCCCCCATGTTTTTCCGTAGGTGCGTCTGGCGAGCATCAGTGCTACTTCCGCTTTCCTCTTTATCCTGTCCAAGTGTTGGTTTCAGCTCAGTTTGGAATCTAGGATTACTCCCAGATATTTAACCTCCCCCGACACTTGTATTTCTTCACCTCGAAGTTTTGGAGGTCCGAGACCCTCCGTTTTAGTCCTCTTGGTGAATGCTACTATGGTCGATTTGGATGGGCTAATGTTAAACCCTTCTTTTTTGGTCCATCTTGTTATGATATTCAGGGCCTGCTGCATGCATCCCTTCACTACATTATTGTATTTACCCTGGACTAAGATGACTAAGTCGTCTGCATAGCCCAGTGCTTTATACCCATTGTGGTCCAAGAGACATAGTAGCTTGTCCATTACAAGGTTCCATAACAGANAGTTTTACGATGAAGATACCCTGGTTTTTTATTGACAATAACGCTATGACATAGATTAGCAAAATTTAACTTTCTCCTGTTCTCCATATTCTGTTTCTGAATTTGGTTTTTATATTCTACAGTTGAATTAGGTCCATACAGAGCATCCGCGTAATTAAATAATGACAAAACTAGTGTTTTATATTCATTGGAAAAAGATGTCGGTTTCCATAAATCAACTTGATGTTAGAATGAGCACGTTCTATCAAGATTTTTATATGCTTCTCGAACCTCAAGCTAGGAACCATTACTATGCCTAGATTTTTTATTTCATCAACTTATGCTATTTGCTCATTATTTATATTAATAAATCACTATATTGACGAAGAAAGTAATACAAATCATGAAATTAGGGAACAACAAAAACTAATTGGCTCTCCGGGGCGACTTCATTGATTCCAGTGGCGCATTTGCTTGTTCTGCTTCAGGAAAACCCGGAAAAACCTGCAGCCCCACATCATTTGAAGATCTTGATCTGCCAATGTCCTTTCTTTAGTCTTTCATGAAACAAAATGTAGGGTGTCTCCATAGGCTCTAATTTTCTAGTTCTTGAGACTTGAAACTATAGTATAGCTGAGTATCGTCAGCGTAGAGTTGCACATTGCCGTTGGTAAGAATATGGGAAGAGTATATGGAGAACAATAATGGATACTTGTGGAACCCCAGATCTCAGAGACATATAATCTGGGCACACACCATTCATACATACCTGCTGTTTTCTATTTTCGAGATATCATTACAAGCATTGTTCGAAAAGCCCATATATTTCAACATGCCAACCAGTAAATCATTGTTAATGGTGTAGAAAGCTTGACTAAAATCTAATAGCACTAGCATTGTTACCTGTCCTTTATCTGTACCTTTCATGATATCGTCAGCACTGTGAAGTAAAGCAGTGGTTCAGCTTTAAAATTTACGAAAACCTGGTTGAATTGAGGGAATTAGGGACTGATTTTCTGATTTGGGTTTTTAGAGCCCTTTCTAAAATCTTTGAGAGCACCCGCAAAATGCTAATTGCACGACGCAGATCTTTGAATTCAGTGTGTGCTTTTTTTTGATAAAATGCTTACAATCGCCTTTCTCCATGCATTTGGAAATACATTTTCGGTCATACAAAAATTTATTATATGCGTTATGTATGGAATGATATTTGGACAATATAATTCGACCATATCATGACCCAATCCATGAAAAGCCTTAGCCCTAGTCTTTATACTACTTCACTAGCGTCTAAACACTTGTAGTTTTTCAGTGACTTTATGACATCTAGAACAGCCTCCTTACATTTTATTTCCNTACACCTGCCGATATAAAGGAGATGTCTCCCAGAGACCTGTCCGCCTTCCTGGAAAGGACAGCAAAGACAATGACCTAGGAGGACAACTCCTCGGGAGGATGTACAATGGGACACATGTGGCCTAATTGCTGTGGTCTCATACTCACCCTCCCTACCCTACAGATACAGATCCACAATCGTATTCTGGTGATGAATGGTTGCATATTATTTTATTCGGTAGTGATAGGTCACAGATAGTGGTTGTAGACAAAGTGAAATCTAACCGATTAAAAGTAACAACTGGTGTACCTCAAGGCTCTATTTTAGGTCCTTCACTATTTATTGCTTTCATTAATGATATTATATATTCATGTACATCTCATAACAAAATGATTATCTATGCAGATGATACAAACCAGCTGGTGGCTGAAAAATCTCTAGCAGGCACTGTTACAACTAGCAATACATGTGCGCGCGAATTCCAACAATGGTGCGAGAATAATGGATTATCAGTCAACATCAATAAAACTTGTTTTATGGTATTTCAACAACAAAATATCAGTCTTGACCATAGTCCATTAATAAGAATGGATCATAGGTCCATAGAGCAAGTAAAATATTGTAAATTCCTTGGAGTATACATAGATCAGAAGCTCACATGGAATGTTCATACAGATCATATTGTATCCAAACTAAGCAGTGTTTGCTTTGTTATTCGACAACTACAAGGAACAGTATCTCTGGAAACTCTTAAGCTAGCTTATTATGGTCTTGTTCAGTCCACACTGAGTTATGGTCTTATTGTTTGGGGCAATTCTGCTCATATTCAAAAGGTGTTTATAATACAGAAAAGAATTTTAAGATGTATGGTGAGAGCCAACCCTCGAGAGAGCTGTAGAGAAATCTTTGTTCGTTTGAGAATTCTAACTCTTTCATGCTTATATTATATATTTAATAACTCTTGAGGTAAAAAAACGGCACTTCAGCCATGAAAGGGGTTTTATGATCCACAATTATAGTACACGCAACGCTAGTTGTATACGTTTGCCATTCTCTCGCTTATCACTGGGACAGAATTCATATATGTATCAGGGAATTATTTGCTATAATCACACAGTCACACTAATGAGTGAAATTGAGAGCTTTGAATTATTTAAATCAAAATTGTTTGATCTCTTATGTTCAGAGGCCTTTTATTCAATGGACGAGTTCTCAGCAATCTGTTCATAGTATATATAAATTAGTATAGGGTAGCTTATGCTTTTATTTTTATACTAATTGTATTTGTTGTATGTCTGACTAGTCCGATAAGTTTTAGGGAGACAAGTTTATATGCTATATCTTGTAAAACTTCAGTGATGAATAAACATATATATCTAACTCAAAACACCCTCAAAGTTTTGTATAAATATATCGAAATTTTCCTTTCCAGAAAGCTAAAACTATTATTTTCTCATCCATCAAATCATTACCACAAAATTCATCGTTTTGTTCACTATTGAGTGAAATCCTCCAGTAATATTGATTTAATTTGCCTGATCTCCTTGTGTGTATCATTGAACGAGAACACTGAGATACTTCATTTTCTGAAAGATACAATTTCATAGAAAATATTACATTAACTAGCTTTCTATAGGTTTCCTGAAGAAACTTGCCCGGAAAGTAACCATCATTGTCATATTGTACATCATGAAGCGATAATTACAGTTTTCGATTCCGTTTTTTGTTATAATTTGACATAATGACTTTTGTTCAACAATAACTTATATTGTGTATTGTATGAGAAAACAGTTATTGACAATAACTGTTTTCTCATGCAATACAAAATATAAACACCTATGGTCAGAAATGCAGGGTTCAAATACTTCACTGTGAAATAATTGGAAATACATGTTTGTGATAACATTATCAATACAAGTGGATGACGTAGCTGCGACTCTAGTGTGTTAAGCAATAATAATAGGACTCAGGTCAAAAAATATCAATATGCATGTCAGATCATTAAGAGCTGACGAATTCAACAGAAAATCAATATTGTAATCACCCATGATGATCACTTTAACTTTCGGTTTCAACATGTAACCGTAAGAAGCCTTGGTTTATTTCAGAAATAAAAGAGCTCCATCAAACTTTATGTGAAATGGCTAAAGTTGCAAAAATTAATAATATTGATGTTATTCGAGAACGGTACAAAAATTTTAAAGTTATTTATAGACATAAGGTACGGCAAGCTAAATTGGAATATAATGATGCAAGACTTGTTGAGACCAGTAATATATCTAAAGAAAGCTGGCAAATAATTAANACAGTATCTCTGGAAACTCTTAAGCTAGCTTATTATGGTCTTGTTCAGTCCACACTGAGTTATGGTCTTATTGTTTGGGGCAATTCTGCTCATATTCAAAAGGTGTTTATAATACAGAAAAGAATTTTAAGATGTATGGTGAGAGCCAACCCTCGAGAGAGCTGTAGAGAAATCTTTGTTCGTTTGAGAATTCTAACTCTTTCATGCTTATATATATATTTAATAACTCTTGAGGTAAAAAACGGCACTTCAGCCATGAGAGGGGTTTTATGATCCACAATTATAGTACACGCAACGCTAATTGTATACGTTTACCATTCTCTCGCTTATCACTGGGACAGAATTCATATATGTATCAGGGAATTATTTGCTATAATCACACAGTCACACTAATGATTGAAATTGAGAGCTTTAAATTATTTAAATCAAAATTGTTTGATCTTTTATGTTCAAATGCCTTTTATTCAATGGTCGAGTTCTTAGCATAAACATATCTATCTATCTATCTAACTCGAAACACCCTCAAAGTTTCGTATAAATATATCGAAATCTTCCTTTCCAGAAAGCTGAAACTATTATTTTCTCATCCATCAAATCATTACCACAAAATTCAGCGTTTTGTTCACTATTGAGTGAAATCCAATCTATATGCTTGAGGGTTGACTTTCAAGTAGTAGGGCCTGAATCCAAATGTATGTGAAAATCGGTGCTGTTCAACCTTCAATGATTGGATTGAAACATTGTTGAATATGTATTAGGTATGTATTCTTTCAAATTTCGAGTAATTTCCAAAATTCGGTGGAATATTTATGTAGGAGGCCTTTCAATAAAATTTTTTTCAAGAACAAAACACAAGCACTACAGAAAAATCCTTAAGGCGCTCTGAGAGCGGTGCCTATGCGAAAGTAGCGATACACGTTGAATTTGAATTGCTGGAGATTGAATTCATTTGGGAAAACATTCTCAGGAAGTTCATTTCACCTAAACGCAGTTCTCCAAATGAAAGAGTTCTTAAACAGTGAAGTTTGAGGTATACTAAGTATGAAAAAATGTTTTTCCTTTATTCAGCTGTTGCACCTCTACGAAAGACAACCCTCAGAAGTCGAAACGTGTGCGAGCTAAGTACTAACGAGGTCTTACCTTTCAACGTGTGATTCCTAACCTTAAAATTGAAATGCTAGAGATGAGAGGATGAATTCTTACCATTCTCAACTAAATACAAGCCTATTCTGTCATTCTCAGCCTGAGTTTCGATACTCACTAATTCCATATTCTGTTGTTTGCAATATTGCCATGCCCCAAAATAGTTGGCCTGAAATTAAAATAATGCGTTGAGAGAGTTTGTTTTGTTGAAAAGTTGAAGAGTGTTTAGTTCATCATCGTAAATTTTTGAACTTGCTTGAAAATAGTTATCGAAAACAAAAGTTTTGAAGACCTGTCATGTCGAATAACTTATCGTTATTAGTATTAATCAGAAAAAATTATTAGAATCTTTTATTTCATGATAATAAAATTTCGTGCCAACTTTAACGTAATCCGCGAATAAGAAAAAACTATGTTGATACGTAGATTTGACAGGTAGAATTGGAACCTCTTGCATAAAATGAATTCATTAAGAGCACTCACTGAAGCATTAAACAGCCCGCTGTTTACGATGGTACGTAATAATCCATCAAAACACTTTTTCATCAAGATATGACTACTACTGCTGTTCTAGTCATTACGTTCCAGTGTAAACAGCGGGCTTTTTACGTAATTATCACCGAAAGGAAACTGGTAAAAGATTAGGTACGTAACATGTAGTGATCAACATAAAAATGTGTCACAATGAGTTATTCCAAGGATTATTTTGATTTCAATTGGGTGATGGTTGATCTACATTTACAGTTCTCAAACTTTTTTCTGACGGAACCCTTTGGCTGAATGCTTATGCTCGTTAGGGTATTCACAAACAAAAATAAATTTTGGTAATTATAAAAATAATAATGGGAATTATTTTACTTTGGACCAAGGTCCTTGGCCTTCCATAATATCCACCATGTATATGAATATTCAATACAAATGAAAGGAAACAACACTTAAAT